CCGGATGCAGCAGATGCAACGGAAAATAGAGAAATGAATAGAGAGACAAGAGGAAGAAATATTAGAAGGCGTTGTTTTACATCCATTTGTGTGTGGATGTGAATGTGTTTGAGAAGATTGTTGATTCGACGACGGTGAAAGAGGCATGGGACACACTGGTCAGATGCTATGGTGGTGACGCATCATCGAAGAAGGTAAATCTCCAGTCCCTGCAAAAGCAATATGAGAATCTCAACATGAAGAACAATGAGAAGGTGTCTGAGTACATCTCTAGAGTGATTCTGATCACTAATGAGATGAAGGCTTGTGAAGAAACCCTCTCTGAACAAGTAATTATTAAGAATATATTGAGGTCACTTATTACTCAATTTGATTACACTGTTATAGCAACTAAACATTCTAAAGATCTGAAAACCATGAGAGTAGAAAATTTACAAAGCAGTCTAGAGGCACATGAGTTGCGTCTGATTGAAAAAACTTCTGAGAGGGAAGTTGAGCAGGTTATGAAGGCTTCTTTTGTCAAGAAGGACCAGAAGCATTCTTGATCAGAAACCAAGAATAGGCGTGGTAATAGATTCCAGAAGTCAGAAAATTCTACTTTGGATTAGAAGAAACCTCAAAAGGGTAAGGAGAAGTTTGACAAGAAGAAGGTTCAATGTTATTGTTGTAAGCAGTTTGGCCATTTTGCTAAAGATTACTGGTCAAATAAGGGAAGGAGATCATAAGAAGAAAATATATCCAGAGGAGATTCTAATGATGAACCTGTACTATTGATGGCTTCTGAGTCTGATGGAAAGTGTTTGACTGACTTGAAACAAATAATGGCTGATAGATTTTGACTCCAGAGGGAGGACAAAAATCAAATATGCTGATGATAAGTACCTTAATACAGAAGGTGTGAGAAATGTCAAAGTTAAAGTGAAGAATGTGAAGACCATTCTGATCAAGGATGTTTGGTATGTCCCTGGAATTAAGAGAAATCTGATGAGTGTGGGTCATCTCATTGAGAAAGGTTTCTCAATTATTATGAAGGAAAATCTCTTGAAGTTGTATGATTCCAATCAAAAGTTGATTATGCAATCTAAGTAGGGAAGCAACAGAACATTCAAGGTTAATGTAGAAACAACTGAAATAGAGTGAGTTAGTGCAGAAGACGCTGAAGGTGATAGCAAGTTATGGCATAAAAGTTTAGGGAATCTGAGTTCTAAGAAGCTTGTGTGTGGAATTCCTAAGATTGTGAAGCCTAAGAAGTCATGTGAGGTATACATGAAAGGCAAGCAATCCAGACTTCCATTTGTGTTAGAAGTAGCCCCAAGATCAAAACTTTCTTTAGGAGTAGTGCATTCAGATGTGTGTGGACCATTTCTAGAACCTTCACTTGGAGGAAATAGATATTTTGTGTCTTTTGTGGACGAGTTCACAAGAATGATGAGGGTAACACCATCAAGTTTAAACATGAGGTGTTTACCGAGTTCCAGAAGTTCAAGGTTAAGGATGAGAAACAAAGTGGTCAAAAGTTGAAGATTCTCAAAACAGATGGTGGAGGTGAGCATAACTCTACAAAATTCCATAAGTTTTGTGATGAAAATGGAATTGAGCATGATGTTACTGCTCTTTATACTCCTCAACACAATGATCTTGTTGAAAGAAGACTTCATACTTTTCTTGATATGACTAGAAGCATGCTGAAGAAAAAATTGTACTTTGCTTGATATGACTAGAAGCATGCTGAAAGAGAAGAAGCTATCTCATAACTTGTGGGGAGAAGCTATAGCCAGGTCAGCATATATGCTCAACGGGTGTCCAACAAAGAAGTTGAAGGAAATTGTTCTCTTAGAAAAGTGGACTGGAGACAAACAAAGTGTTAGTCATCTGAAGGTGTTTGGTTCTGTATGTTACAAACACGTTCCAGAAGATAGAAGGAAGAAGCTGGATGACAAAAGCAAAGTAATGATTCTGGTGGGGTACCACAGTACAGGTGCATACAAGCTTTATTATCCAGAAACAAATAAAGTTGAAGTTAGCTGAGACGTCGTTGTAAAAGAATCAGAAGTATATGATTGAAGCAAGTCTCAATCTATTTCTGAAGATAAGCCAGAACTTGATAATTCTGAAGAAGAGTCAGAGTTAGATGATGATTATGGAAACTCTAAAGATGAGTCATATGGTGAATTTGATTCTGATCCATATTTTCACGATGATCCAGAATCTGGTGGTGGTCATGCTTCTGAAAGGGAAAACTCTGAAGATGTAGGTTCTGGAGGACAAGCTTCTGAAGATGATCATGTTTCTGGTGAAGGTCATGATTCTAAAGGTGGAACTTCAGAAGGTAAATGTTATGAAGGAAATTCAGAAGGTTAACCTTCTAATGGTGGTCAAGTATCTGATACTGTTCCAAAATTGGAAAGAGTTTCTGAAAAAGTTCAGAGACCACAAAGAATCAGAAGAATACCAAGAAGTTTGAAGAGTTTGACATGTTGCAATACACTGAAGTAGATTCAGAAGGAGAAATTATTCAGTGTGCTATATTAGTAGACTCTGAACTTGTGAGTGTTGAAGAAGCTCTCAAGAAGAAAGAATGGCTGAATGTCACGAAAGAAGAACTTGAGGCAATAAAAAGAAACAATACCTGAAAGTTGACTAAGCTTCTAGATAAGAAGAAAGTCATCAGTGTTAGATGGGTTTTCAAGGTGAAGCTTAAGCCAGATAGATCAATTGGCAAGCACAAATCAAGGCTTGTGGATAGAGGGTTTCTTCAGAAACTTAGGCTAGATTACTTTGAGGTGTTTGCGCCTGTAGCTAGACATGAAACAATTAGATTGGTGATTGCTTTAGCTGCAAATATAAATTGGCCTCAGATGCATCTGGATGAGAAGTTTTCATTTCTGAATAGTCCATTACAAGAAGAGGTATACGTGTCACAACTTTATGGATTTGTGAAAAAGAATCAGGAAGGGATGATGTACAAGTTACATAAGCTCTGTATGGATTGAAGCAAGCGCCCAGAACTTGGAAATTGAAGATTGATTCATTTTTCAAGAAACAAGGTTTTCAGAAGTGTGAAATGGAGTATGGCGTGTATGTTCAGCATTCTGAAAGCAATATGATTCGGGTATATCTTTATGTTGATGACATATTTCTGACAGAAAGCTGTTCTGAAAAAGTTATCAAGTTCAAGAAGACTCTGATGAATGAGTTTGAGATGAATGACCTAGGAAAGATGGTTTACTTTCTAGGAATGAAGGTATTATACTTTGAACAAGGAATAATTTTGCACCAGCTGAAGTATGAACTTAAGCTTCTGAAGAAATTCAAGTTGGAGAATTATAAGGCCGTTGTTACACCATCAGAAATCAATCATAAATTTAATTCTGACTCTGAGAATGAAGACGTAGATGTTACAATGTTCAAATAGTTCGTAGGTTCTTTGAGGTCTTTGTGTAATACCAGACCTGACATTTGTTATACGGTTGGATTGCTTAGTAGGTTTATGAGTAAACCTTAGTGGTCCCATTACCAAGCTACTGTCAGGATTCTGAGACATATCAAAGTAACTCTGAAGTTTGGAGTACTATTCCCTTCTGGAAGAAAAATAGATTCAGAGTTGATGAGCTATTTTGATTCTGATTGGTGTGGAGATAGAGTTGATAGAAGAAGTACTTCTAGATACTTGTTTAAGTTTATGGAAAGTCCTATTTCTAGGTGTTCCAAGAAGCAATCCATTGTTGCTCTATCAACGTGTGAAGATGAGTACATTGCAGGTGTTATAGCTGCATGTCAAGTTGTGTGGCTTCTGAATTTACTACAGAATCTGAAGATCAACATAGATAAGCCTCTGAAGCTGATGATTGATAACAAGTCTACAATCAATCTTGCCAAGAACTCAGTACTACATAGAAGAAGCAAGCATATTTAGACAAAATATCATTTTCTGAGAAGCCAAGTCCAGAACGGAGTACTAGAAGTTATGCACTGTAGCACCTAGAAGCAGTTGACAGATATCATGACAAAGGCAATCAAGACGAGTCAATTTTTTCGCTTAAGGGATGGAATTGGTGTAGTTAGTTTTAATTATAAATTCTAAATTAAGGGATGATATTAAAGGGTATTTTAGTATTTCTAATTGTTTTAGATAATTTATTGTTATTAAGTCTATTCTATTAGGGCGTGTGTGACATTCTGTTTTTGTGTATACATAGACTAGTTATAAATGTTATAAAAACAACAATATTTATTCATTTTGCAGCTTTTATAGCTGTCATTCTCTTTACTCTCTTAAATTTACTCTTTATTCATCATTGATTCTTGTGCACTAACAAAAATAGAAATAAATTAAAACAAAAATTTATATCTTTTAAAATAATATTTTAAAATTTATATATGACTATCAATTCAACAAAATCATATAATCAAGATGTCATTGATCGATTCAAATAACTTATTCAAATAAGATCGATTGCACATTTTTGATATATTTGTGTTAGAAAATTTTCATAATATTTTTCTAACAACAAATACTTTAATATTTAATTAAGATAATTCAATTTTTTTTTTTAAATAAACTATTAGATCTCCTTAACTTATATAATTTTTCATGCGTACTACTATCAAATACTCACTCGTATGAAAATTACTATTATAATCTATATTTATGGTGGAATAGAGTGGGAGCAATAATTGTAACAATAGCATTGACTATTGATGCTCAAATGGTCAACCTTTGTATAAGAATATAAATATGAAAAAAAGACTTTTATTTCTCTTTCAATATTTCCCATATTACACCAAGATTCGTGTCCCTAGACTCATTCCTCCGTTTGATTACGATGATTAATAATAATAATAATCATGGCCACCCACCCACCCACCCAACCTAACGCCCCCACACAAAAGTCTCACATTCATTCTCCACCTCCCTTTATAACCAATACCATATATCTAACATTTCTCTAACACAAATCTCAACTCTCCACCCTCTAAATCCTTCTCTCAATTATCAAATGGCTCTTATTAACAACAATCAAGATTCCAATAACTCACACCTTCACCTTGTTCTAGGCTTATCTTTAACCACTCCAAACGAAACAACCACCACCACCGTCGCAAATCCCTACTATTCCTCCTCCAACGAGCCATCCTTAACGTTGGGCCTCTCGGCGACACTTATAACCCTCCCAAAAATAAAACCTATGGCGAGGAACTTTGTAGACAAAACTCTTCACCTCACAGTGTTACTGTTTCTTCGTTCTCCAATGGGAGAATACTTCACGTGAAAAGGGAGAGAGATGAAGACGAAGACATAGTAGAAGAAGAAGAAAGAGTTTCTTCAAGAATAATTAGCGACGAAGATGAAGATGGAACAAACGCTAGAAAGAAACTTAGGCTTACCAAAGAACAATCTCTTTTACTTGAAGAAAGCTTCAAACTACACAGCACTCTCAATCCTGTAATTATTTTTTCCTCATCTCTTCTAATTATAATTAATACATCAATTTAATTAATTAATCACTGATTATCATTATTATTATTATTTATATGTTTTTGGATTTTGGATTTTCAGAAACAAAAACAAGCTTTAGCGAAACAATTGAGTCTAAGGCCACGACAAGTTGAAGTGTGGTTCCAGAATCGGAGAGCCAGGTACGGACTTTAACTTTTCATAAAAAAAAAAATCAACAGTTCTATATATTCTCTATAGTACAAAATATATATATTTTCATTTCATTAAAAAATTATTATTATTTTTCTATAATATATTTATAATATATTAAATAAAATTCTGGTGTGTTACAGAACAAAGCTGAAACAAACGGAGGTAGATTGTGAGTTTTTGAAGAAATGTTGTGAAACATTAACAGATGAAAACAGGAGGCTAAAGAAGGAGCTTCAAGAGCTGAAAGCATTGAAACTATCTTCACAACCTTTATACATGCCTATGCCGGCGGCTACTCTTTCCATTTGTCCGTCCTGCGACCGGCTCGGCGGCCGTGTCGCAGAAGGTGGTGGATCGAATAAGAAGATTATCACTGCTTTTACGATGGCTCCTAATTCTCCCTTTTATAATCCTTTCAATAATCCTTCTGCTGCATGTTAAACAGAAGAGAAGAAATTTAAGGAGTATAGTATTAATATTATCCCCACAACCATTGTATTTTTTTGGTTGAGGAGGATACGTGGTAACTATAGTAATACGGTAGAAAATCATAGTAATTGCTAATTATAATTGCTTTTTAATTTTGGGTTTTCTTCTTTAATTGTATGTTTATAAATCATTATAGAATACCTCGTTCTAATAGTACTACTATTTTTTTATTGTTAATATTTTTTCTTTCTTCTGCATGTGTTAATGCTTTGAAGAGTTTTTATCTTGACCCTTTGATTGAAAATTAAAACATGACGAATAATTTGCGGGGAATACTGTATGTATTTAAAATATATATATAATTATGTTATTCTATGTATGGATTCTTCTCACGATTTAGAAAATCATTTCATGATTTGAAAATTATAACTAGCTTCTTCCCACGTGATGCTGGATATTTAGAATTCAGGCAAGCAAATTGTTTCGACTAAAAATATGGATGAGATGATGTATTAGTTGAAATTAATTTATTGTA